TGTCAACATATTCTGTTACACCAAATACACAAAATAATGATCTTTAAAATAGCATCATATGACCCCTTTAAGTCGCATTGCTTAACCTCCTTGTTATACATTTGCCTTTTCCTTATCACCAGGTGAGGGAGTGAATGTGTGCCCAAAGACTGCCCATAAGGAAGTGGTTGTCAAGGAGACAGCAGCCAGAAAATGATGGTCCTTGCAAAGCAAACCAATTTACCTCAGTGACGTAAAAGAAGAGCAACCACCGTCAGGGGTGTAGTTTGTGCGTATGTGTCAAGGTTCACAAGATAATTAAATTTACACCGTTCATGCAGCCCTCTAAATACAGATTTGTGCATCTCATGCAAGCGTTATCTAAAATCTGACAAGCTGAAAAATGCAGTATGCATGACATAATGTTATCAAGATTGCCATCCTTGGCACCACACTCCCCTAGTGACAATGAAAGAGGGCAACCATATCCATGCAGCTATTGGCCAATGAGCACTCTCGTACTAACTCCTTATTGGCTAGCTCCTCCAATCACATTACACCAATGAGACTTCTTGTATCCATGAGAATGAAGCTTGTAGAGCTATTTAAATCTAACCACTGAGCCAAAAGATGGCTCATATGTGCATTTTACTTTATGAGGAACAGAGAAACAGTAGATTTGGGTTTGTAGTGCTGGACAACTCATATCAGTCTTACTTGTGAATAATATTATTAGTAGTCTACATCTGCAACTCAATTAAGATCTTTGATGTCTCTAATAAATCAATTTAGCCAAAGATTGTACAGTAAAACATTGTGGACAGATTCTCAAAAGGTTTAAATGAGAACACAAGCTTTTTGGGAAATTAAAAGAGACAAAATATACGTGTCAGTGTCAGTTACAGAAGACAATCACGTTTTATCTGATATTTGCATAATGTGTCCTCAATTAAAGTTACCAACTTCACAAAAATTGGGCTACCATACTGTTCTCATTTGAAGAAAGCCACAATTCGTAGCTTTAAATTCCTCTTTTATTTTTCTGGGTGGTAAGTATCAGCTCACCTGTCATCTCCTGTGCGTGCCTCACATCTGGCATCTCTGTGGGCTCTGAATTTGAGGATTTTTTCAATGAACACCGGGCAAATACTATGAGTTTTGGGGAGGAATATAAAAGAAGGCTTCATTTACTTTCAGACTAAATACAAATAAATACGTTTTCTTCATCGAATATGTCAAGTTTTGAACTGACTCACCTGTGTTTTTTTAATAGACTGTAGGGTTTTTTTCCATTTGGAAATAATGTTATGGTTGAGGCCACACACCTAGGCTATATATTAAGACAATCATTAGGTAATTATAGGTTATTACTTCTAATTAATTTGGTCAAACTTTTGAAAACATAAAATGGAAGAAAACGATGACACAGTAAGAAAAGGCTGCAGGTTTCACACAAAAGCCTCCGTGTGTCACATGACCATGCGCGTGGCCGTGATTGACGCTGTGGCGTGCGTGCCTCTTTCTGATGTCACGCGCTCGTCTTTCTGGATTAAAGATGATCTCTTTAAAACAGTGAAATCAAGGCCTAACTCGTTTGGAAATCAAGGTAAATGGGAATATTGTTTTTCTGTGCTGTTCACATCGTGTACTGCCAAAGAGCAGCAAGTTGTCTGATTAAGTAGGCTGCAGGCAACGCTTGATACTAATAATAGTGTCGTGGTATATTGTTGTTTTTTGTCGGTTACCTGAATATAAGATCGCAGATCGAGTTGTTCATTGTAAGAGTTTATTTATTTATTTATTTGCTTCAAGTTTTAAGTTTCTGTTTACTTTATATGTTTTGAATGTTTTGTTTTGCTAACGTTACACAGAGCTACTGTAGCAGCGTTGTGCGTTTCCATGGTGACGGTGCTCTAGGGTGCGTTTCCCAAAAGCAACTGTTTGCAAGTTCGTTGTGACCAAAAGAGTTGCGACCATGGTTGGCTAACGATGCTTTTGGGAAATGCACCCCTGAATGATATGACATTGGTTGTGTGTGGGGTGCATTTAAAAAAAAAAGTAATCAAATATGAAATATTGAAAAACAAGTCTTACAGGACAGCAAACCACTTGCTGTAAAATGTAGACTGAAGTAATAAAGATGAGAATGTCAGAAAAAATATAAAATAAAAAGTCTGCTACAGATTTCCAAGAAGCAGTTAATTTTGTTCAAAAGAAAATGTTTTCTCTTCCTTTAACTATAGTTATGCATCTTTACCTACCCTTTTGGTTATAGGATAATGGACAAGGTCTCAGGCCCTTGATACTGGTATGCATCCCTATGGATGAAGCATGTCTTTAATGGAGCTTCAGGACAAAAGTGAACGTGTCTACAGAAGCACTGGCATCAGGAGACAGACAAGTGCTGAGATAGTGTCAGAAGCTCGTCGCTCTCTCAGAACTCTTGCCACACAGCGGCCTTTCACACCTCAGGAGAAGCATCGGCAGCTCTTTGAAGAATCATCTTCTCGTGCACATGATGGACGACCACCATCTGCATTCAGGTAAAACAACATTGGAGATGATAGATTTATGTATTTAACCCTTTTGAATGTATTTTATGCTCCTTATAATATTTAGAATGAATTTTGATTATAGAGTGCAAAAGGACCTGTCTATTTTTTCAGCAGCCTTGGTTATGGAAGTATTTTTCCCATTTATTTTTTGTAGGGATTTTAAGCCATTTTAAGCCAATTATAAGCCATGAACCAATCATAGATTAAAAACCTTGTAGTAGGTCTGTCTTTAAATGTTTTAAATTATTGATAAAAATCAGTCCCCCTATGGAGAAAATTAATGGAATTTTTAACTTCCAGAACCAGACTGTTGCACTCTTTAAAGTACATGAATTATGTAGTTAGTAACATCATGTTTATTCATATAAAACTAGTATGCTGTTTTAATTGCCTTCACAATTTTCTTTTCTAGTCTACATGCCCGACATTTTGAAGCTCCTGACTCCAGGCCAGGCTCTGGAACTCGTCTTAGCCCACTGGAACATGTAAGAAGCCTTTCAAAACTTTATGTCTGACTATTCAGATGAAATCAGGAAACAGTTATTCAAGAGTTCTCTCAATCCTAGAAACCCAGCCTGTCTGTGTCCCTGGATGAGGATGGCGGTGTTGAGGAAGCAACTCTTCCCAAACCCCCAGCTGAACGAGGGAATACAAGGATAGGATCAGGAGGTTCTCGAGCCAGACTGCTTAGAGCAGCATCCATAAACAGACTACCACCCATGACACCAAACACAAAGAGTAAGAAAAGAAATAAAACTGTTTTATTAATCTGTTTGTTTTCAATTTTTTCTCTTTTCAATAAATATTTCCCCACCAAAAAATCAAATCAATCAATCAATCAATCAATCAATAACAAGATGTCAAAGGGTTACTTTACTTTATCTTTCAAATCAAAGTGCAATGCAGTAATAGTGCATATTTACCAGGCAGATTGATAACCCTCTTCATTGTGTCCTGTGTCAGTGCCTCTGAAGAGACAGTCAGCTAACTGATAAAGTATTTCACACTGAACCAAAATAAATAGACACTTCTTATATAAAATCTTATATAAATCAGTTTACATCCCCAGGATGTAACTCTGTATGCCCTGAGTTTGTTTGTATTGAGAAAACAAAATGTATGTTTGTCCTGTCAGTAGTTTGCTAGATTGAATTTTATTTATTTTAGTACATTAGTAATAAAACCATTCAAAAAGTTTAATGACACTAAAGGACAATGCTAGACTGTAAAAGGTTGATATGAATGTAACTTTTCTGGCTGAGCTTCTGTTTACTGTAGTTTGGGGTTAGTAAGTTTTTTTTTTTAAGAAATGCATTAAATTGATCAAAAGTAACAGAAAAGACACTTATAATATTACAAAAAAAATGTATTTCAAACAAAACTTTATATTCATTAAAGAATCCTGAAAAATGTATCATGGTTTCTTTCCACAAAAATATAAAATATTAAGCAGCACAACTCTCTTCAACACTGATAATATTTAGAAATGTTACTTGAGCAACAAATCGGCATATTAGAATAAGTAATAACTGCTAAAAAATTAGTTTTTAATCAATTAAAAAACAGTTATTTTAAATTGTAATATTTCACAATATTACTGTTTTGACTGTATTTTTGATTAAATAAATGCATCTTTGGTGAGCATAAGAAATTCTCTCAAAAACATAAAATATATGTGTTGATTATATCTATTAATATATGTGTTTTTGATTGTTTAGCTAAGCTGTGTTGTTGTGTGCCTATTCAGATATGTCTCTAGAGTCAAGGATCGGAGCAGACCAACCAGGTGACAGAGAAAAGCTACACTGTGCTGATGTTACAGAGCATGAAACAAAATCATCCTCCGAAACAGACCTGCACATACTTATCAAACACAGGTTTGCTTTTTGAGAACAAACATCTGTTTTGCTGTCTTCTATGCGCACTTGAAGGTTTATTGTTCTTTTAATGTACTCCTACATCTGTAATTTTATTGAACACATGTTTAGAGGATTGAAACCTCTGTAGATGGGTAGCTTTGAATCAGCATGTTTATGACAGGGACTCACATCAGGCGTTTGTCCCTTTGAGTTTCATAACAAAAACCTCTACTGTCAATGCACCACCAAACTCCTTCAGTAAATCGATTTATGCTCTGTGCCTAAGAACAGCAATAAAACATTTTATGTGTTGTTGACTCTCGGGACACCCTGTACAGAGAGTGAACTTGTTAATTGTGAACCATTGAGGATCAGTAGATCCCAGTGGTATTAATCCCTTCGTTACCAAAGTTTTCAGAGTTAAAAGATATTCTCTTTTCTCTTCTATGTTCTCTTGCATGAAATGCACCAGAATTGTGTAAACCATCCATCAGATCACATTAAAAGATTTGTTTATTCAAATCCAAGCGCTCTCATTAAAACATTGCCCAGAATGCCCACTTATGAAAATCGCAATGTTAGGTTCTGAGAATCGTTTCCAATTTGGATGCATTTACGGACACTCTGGAACTTAATAGTAAGTTAAAGTCAGGCGGCAAGCCCTCTCTCTCCCTCTCTCTGTACCATATCCTTGTTATAGTTGCTAATGGAGCGATATTAGATTATGCAGGCCGTTTGTGGCTGGCTGGCTCACTGGTGTGTTGACCACCAGTACAGTCTCATTTGAGATTCACGCGATGAGATCACGTCTCAGCCGAGGCATCCCATCAACAATGAGGCATTATCGAGACAGTACAAAGCCCAAATATGATCAATGCCACAAATATGCTCAGCCGTACCATCATTTCTTCACAATCCTTAGGAAATACCCATGTGACATATGATAAAGAAGAATGATGCATTTATACTGTACTATAAAAATTGAGAATTTTAAGCAGTACAAGTACATTTGAGACATACTATGTCAGTTTAATCTGCTGTTAATGATAGCACAGACTAAAACCATGTAAACGGATATCTTGATATCTGAGATAAAATTAACCATGACAGTGCATGATTAGGTCTGAGACAAGCACGTGAACCTGTGGTTTCCTGTCTGTTGTATCCTTTACATGCACGCATATTTTAATGAACATTTACACAAGCACATTTTGAAAGTGATCTATTTTTCACCAGTAACTGATTTTGAAATCATTGAGGATTAAAGAAAAAGATATAATGAAAATAATTGGCCAAATGAAATGCTACATCAGAATATCACAACAGTGACCTCTTGTGTCTGCCAGGAAAACAGGTGAATTATATGATAATACTGCCATTTATAAATAAATAAATAATGTTTTATTATTTCTTTTGAACTTGTATTTATGTTGATACATTTTAAGCATTTTTTACCTGCAGACTTTGTAAAAATGTTCAGGTTAAATATAAATGTACACCATTTAAGTTTTTGTAATTCATCTAACCACTGTTCCAAACACAATGATGTCATGTATGCTCTGTCTGCTCTGTATGTACATTTATTTGTGTTTGTGATTAACAGAATACCGCAAACTGATGTATCCAGTGAAAGAGGATCAAAACCAGGTATATTGCTATATCTATGATGTATATATCTGCACTTGAAACCGCTAACCGACAGTCAAACACATGATAAACAAAGCAACATTCTTGGAAATCTTGCTCCTGACATAATCTTGCCAGTAGCCACAAACATTTGATCGGATTGGAAACCTAAACCACTTTTTCTGCAGCAGTTTCTCAAGATTCTTTGTCCAGATGCCATGTTGATAGCTGTTTGATCTGTTGTTTTCGCAACCCACTACTTCCTGCAGCTCGTCCACAATGCAAATGCTCAGAGAGGCATTTGAACAGAATAGACACTAATGAAGAGTCGTGTGGGTGTAAAGCTCTGACCTTTTCATGCTATGCTGAACATCCTGTATTACATTCATTTGCTTTACGAACTGCTAGGGTGAAATTTCTGAATTTCCCTTAGGGGATCAATCAAGCACATCTGTCAGTCTGTTTATATATATGTCTGTCTGTCTGACACCCACTCCATCTCATTCTGCTGTAGAAGTCAAGCTTGGGCATGGAGACACAGGAGATGACAACATGGATGAATCTGTGTTCTGGAACATTAAAATCTTTCCTGTCCTTCAAGAATTTGAGTCTTTTGCACAAGGTGATGATAAAATTACTCTTATGAATGGGCTTAATATGCACTAGTAATGATCTGATGACCTTAAAGATTACCATTAAAGGGTCACCATGTGTTTTGCTGGACATCATCAGACCAACAATATGTTTGCATAGAATTGGTCAATTCAAAATTAACATATTTAAGAAAGAATGATTTTGCTTTTTGATTTAACCCTAATGCTGTGTTTAGGGTCAAAAATCATTCATTATCTTTAGGGAATTCTGTGAGAACAAATTTTCAACATAACCCTCTGTGAAAAATGTTACATTACTTCTGTTTGGGCTCTTAGAAATATGAAATTAAATAAATGTAATGTTGCTAAGATTTTCTGATTTTCTGCAGCACACTCTTACCAGTCTTCTTTATTATTTAAGCAATATTTTTAAATGAGTTAAAGAGAAATAATACAACATACAAGTAGTCAATCCCCCCAAAACATGAGTTTTATTTTCCATTCACCCTGTTACAGTTTTTTTTTTAATGGTCCAAAAACATTTTATTTAAGTGGCTTCTTATTTTTTGCTAATACTAACTTTAGATTTAGAAAGATAGCCCCAGTTGTGGGGTTATTGGATTGTGCTTATGCAAGTTCATACTAAAGAGCTGCACTTTAGCACTTGAATGTGTCCCTGAGTGAAAGCAAAACTGCAGGGAGAAAGAAAAACACAATATTTGAATGCAGAGGAATAAAAACAAAACTTGTGTTGAGCTTGGCACGGTATAGAGCTTTTAAAGTCAAAGCATGTGGCGGGGGAAAAGAACTGTGAAATGCAATCTAATGGCAGTAAATATTTAAGCACTTTGAAAATTCAATGGAAATTCATTTAAAAGATAAATATCAAATATTTATTGTGCCAAGAGACTCTTGGTTCATGCATAAAATACCATTCATATTCTCCATGGCATCATCAGAGGGTGCCGTTGAGGAGAATGCCAACCATCTTGGAAACAGATTTGAGAAACATTTGTTTTAGCAAAAATAGCTTTGAAAAATGCAGCCTGTGACTTATCCTCTAAAGGCAAGTTTGATCCAGCATAAAGCATTGCCAGTGCACACAATGGTTAAAAGCATGTAGAGATGGATAATTATTCCGCAAGCAACAGCTAGTCTAAGATGCAAAGATGAAAAAAAAAAAGATTATTTATCGATTTTAATTGAGCCCAGGGGATTTTGGAGATATTGATACTCTATTGAAGTCTAATCTAACTTAAAACTCAGTGACATATTATGTTGTTGTGCTCAGAGCCAGTACATGTGGAAAGACAGTACAGAGCTATTATATATGCACTAATGATGCATACCATACAGGGGGGGAATTTGCCCTGGAGGGCCATGTTAACTCTGTCAGTGGGTGTTGACATGTGGGCCAAATGTCAGTGAAATGTCAGTAAGCCTACTCTGTGTACACATCAGATCAGCTGAATGAAAGAGGCTGTGTACCCCACAGACTACTCTTCTTTCACTGTCCTTCACAGGGACAGTTGAAGGATGACAATGCTGCAATTAATACCGTGAAAAATTCGGTTTGAAATGCGACCTTGACATTGTGTTATTTTGTGCACTGGAACATACAGTATACTGATCGGGTTTTGTCTTTTTCAAAAAAACAATCCTTATAGGTGATGCCATGTCAGATGAGATAGTGGGAGAGCTGTGTAACGCATGCAATGGTCTCTATAACGCCCTGGCAGAGAGAGGAATGCTGGGAAGGCAGTGTAAAAAGAGGTCTGCCATCCTTAGAACACTCTTCAGGCTTATAGATGTGGGATCGGACCGACTTAACCTAACATTAGCCAAACTTATTCTGGCAGTGAGTATATCCACACACACACACACACACACACACACACACACACACACACACACACACAGACACAGTACTGTATGTCTTAAACCTTGAATTATGTTAAAAATCTGGGTATGATCATTATGGTCTGGGTCAAATTTATCCTAAATGGATTAAAAAAAATGTACCTATGAAAACAACATTTTAACATAAACTTTTAAACAGAAGAAGTGTGGAGAAATGCTTATGTGTGCTTTCCTGATGCTATAACAGTAGATCATGGGGCTAGCAAAGCCAAGATTATGGGTTTGATTTCCAGATAACTGAACATGTATGAACTGATAAGAATGCACAGTGTAAATGTATTTGAAAAAATAAAAAAGCGTCTACCTGAGGAACTGACATAACAAAACACATCAAAAAATGTTTTTTATTTAGGGTTTTATTTTGTGTAGTCGCACATTCCATGACACAGAGTATCGATATTTGCAGGCATGTTCATGATCCTAAATGAGAAAAAGTCTTAAAAATGCAAGAAAACATCTTAGTATTTCTGACAACCTAACAATCTAAATGTGTCAAACAACATAATTTACAAGGTCTGATCTTAACCAGCCTCTACTTTGTAAGATAAGAACATACTAGTATATGTGAAATTTGAAATGAGTTTTACTGCCTTATTGCTTTTGTCTATATTACAAGCTCAGTGTGACTGGAAACAACTTGCTGAACATCTGCAAACTTGTCTTCAAAATCAGCCGGAACGCTAGTAACGACACCCTGTTCCTAAACGGCTGCATCCTAGGTGAGACCCGATTATTACATAACTTACCCATAATTTCTAAACTCAATCAGTCATTATCTCTAACATCAGCCCATTATGTGTACACACACAGACTCCCTACTGTCTCTGCTCCATTGTGAGGATGTGTGGAGTAAAGGTGAAGCTGTGCTGTACTGTGTCGGCTCACTGAAGCTCCTCTCAGGGAACGCCGCCCTCTCCAGGCTGCTGCTGTCTAAAGGCTTTATCGGCGTACTACTGCAGCTGTCAAAAAGACTGATGCATGGTCCATCTACTTCAGCTAATGTAACTTCTCACAAGTCAGAGGGAGAAGGTCAGCATATCATCGCAGGACACATACTGGTACAGGTGGGTGATCCTTGATGGCTGCTTAGATTATGCAGGAGTCAAAGTTGCTTTATTGTCAGCTCTAACCCTGTTTTCAGTATGGCGACCATGATCGCGATCACACGTATACCTACATTAGATAGATTTGTCTGTTTTAAAGGGATGGTTTACCCATATATTACCTGTTTGGCTTGCTTGCCTCTGTGGAACAAAAAAACAATATATTTTGAAGAGCGATTTTGGTTACCATTGACTTCCATTGTATGGACCAAGAAACATTTCTCAAAATATCTTCTTCTATGTTCCACAGATGAAAGAAAGTCATACAGGTTTGGAACGAAATAAAGATGAATAAATAGTGACAGAATTTTCACTTTTGGTTGAACTGACAAGACTTTTCTATGACGTATGATCACCTTTTTTCTTTGTTGCCTCAAAACAAAAGATCCCGTCATGCATATGTGCAGTGACTGAGGTTGTGTGCTCCCCCTATGTGCTGGAATAGTGCTTTGTGCAACACACACACCACCATAGACAAAACAAAATAAGTTTGCATTGCAAACATTGTAAATCTGTGTCATGAAGACTTGAAGAATTCAGCATGCTTGAACCCCACACGGATGCTTCTCAGAACTCTGCTCTGGGAGCGAAATGGAACAAAATATGAGTGCTTCATAAGGGTGGGGTTGCATGGGGTCGAATAAAAGGGCAGATTTTAATGTGCTTTTCCTCTGCTTTTGTTTTTGCTTTTGTCTGGGAGGATGCCCTTTTTCCACTTCTCCATGTCCATATTTTACTTCATACTCCTCCAGCACAAAGTACGTCTCACAGGAATGATTTAACTCTGCCCTAACAAACTTCCTGAACTCCGCACGCATGGTTTGATGTTCAGTGCCAATTGCTGTGCCACTCATTAGTCTGTTGGCAGACGGAAATGAGGATTTTTATGAAAGTACGGCCCGATGGGCCAAGCAGCTCTAGCAGGCACCCTCCATGTATCCTAATCAGTGTCTCTTGCTCTTGATGGAGAGATTTATGAGGCCACTTTGAAGACCTACTGTTATTTCTTCTTGATTATAAGTGCTTCCTCTTTTATATGCATCTCTACCCATTAGGCAGTAGTACACACACATGCACACCTGCTGCACAGTCCCTCATTCACACTCAGTCGCCAAACATACATACTCATACATTTCTTTTGTGTGTGTGTGTGTGTTTGTTCCTCAAACACACAGTTGCTCACAGTCTTGACCTCTTGACCCTTTCTAGGTCACAGCTGCTTTGAGAAATATAGCTGACCAGTCTGAGTCTCGGCCTTCCTTCCTGTCCAACAAGGCATTCTCTACTCTTTGCTTGATTCTGGAGAACCACCGCAGTGACATTGACATCTGCATTAATGTGGCCCGAATATTCAGGTGAGTCTGTCTTTCAGGTGTCATTGTGATGTGTGTGTGCATTCAAATTAATAAGTGTTTAGAACAGTGAGTCTAAATCTTTTTAACTCCAAGGTTAACATTTTTATATTTTATCATTTCTACCCGATAAAATATTGTAGAGCTTGACATAACTAGAAAAATGTATATTGATTCTAAAAATGCCCACAGTTATAAGATTTATTAATTTACAGTACAATATTTTTACAGGTCTAGAAATCACACTTCGATAAGAGTACCTCATATCCATTTTTTTCTTAGTCTGTGGTTAAAATAGTTAAAATAATAATTTTTTTGGCTTATGTTTTACTTATGGGTGATAATTGAATTTTTGATAAAATATAAGAATAAATAAATGGAAGATAAATATAAGTATAAATATTTTAAAATATGTAAATTTTAAGTTTTCAAATTCCACAATGCAAAAAATTCAAATGGCTTTACTTTTGTTACATTCAAATATTTCATTTATAAAATATCATACATAAATATCATATAGAAATGTTTCATATTTTATAAATGAAACACTGTATGTGTATGCCTCACATCATAATGTAAAGATCAAAACAGTTTAAAAAAGCATTTGAATTAAAATTAGAAATACTGTATCTTGATTTTTAGTCATTTTATGTTTTCTTTTATTTCAAATGATTTGAAGTCATCTTGAGTTCCCCATTAGCAGTTTTCTGAGGCCCTGTAATGGGCCCCCTGATTGAGGACCACTGGTTAAAAGTTTTGTAATGCATGCTATAAAATGCATTTTAAATATCCACCAGCTGAGGTAATTTCAAATTTTAGTTTGAGGAATTGAGCTTTTTGATTAGTGTTGATAAAGTTGTGCCATGTGATGTGTGCGAATATGCTTGTGTGTGTTCGGTCTCCAGCAAGCTGTCCACCTACACTGAATGCTGTCATGCACTAGCTGAGACGCCACGCTGCTGCAGCCTATTTTTGGACCTGCTAGGCAAATACAGCAGGAAACAGGTGAATTTGGCCCAAGTATATGTATACTGTCCACACACGCTCAGACATACAGTGAAACAAGCACACACATGTAAGCATATAGGCTGCATGTTCCGCTTTCTGCTTTCATGTGGAACTTAAGCAATGGTCTATGAAGGTGTGTGTGTTTTTCTTTTCGTTTTATTTCGGTACAGACAGCTCATGTTCTTCTCTCTCTTTCCTTCTGGCACTAAGTGTAATGAGATCATATGCGCCCAATCTCATAAAGAATAAACACGGTCCATACTGAGTACTAGGTATCATAAACACAGTTCCACACACCCTGTGCCTCACATAGGGACATACTGTCCTCGAGACTACTGCCAGAAGTCTCTCTCTGCACCCCGCTTTTTCATACATTCTAAATGAAAACAAAGAAGTTGTTGAAAATCTGTTTAAACTGTCTGACAAAATAAAGTTAACAAAAGGCTGCTAGATTCACAGAAGTGTCAAGTGATTTTTGCATAGGTTTAGTGGACCATCAAATGGCTAAACACCAGGCTTAATCCTAATTTATCTCATAATTTTTTAGAGTTAACATATTACATTCCTTTTAGTAAATAATAGGTCTGTGTGTAATTATTAGTATTTGTTTGTGTCCAATATATATATATATATATACATACATATACAGTATATATATATATACAGTATATATAATGTAAATGTTTGCAACTTGTGCTTTATGAAAAAAAAAAACAGATTACACATTTCTCATACTGCTTCAGAACACACAAGAAATACAACATGGAATACAATGATAACTCAATAATGAAAATCTTCCCCACATTTAATGGTACACATTTTAGATATGTATGCCGCTGATCTGCAGTCCCAGTGTTTGCATTAATATTTAAATATAAGTCTAAAATATAAACTATGTAATATAAATATAAAATATAAGTATAAAATACTTGTGGTATAAATTATACTATAAATATTTAAAAATATAGGTAAATATAAATTTCAAGTTCTGGTATTCCACCATGCAAAGAATCCAAATTAGTGATTAGTAGCAGATAGACAGATAGATAGATAGATAGACACATTTTTAAAAGAAATATATAGTACATGTTATGTCTTACAAGAGGGTGTCATGTCATTATTTATGGATCAATGCCAAATATGTCAAATTAGATAAATGCATTAATATATGTATATGCATATTAAATGTAATTAGTTGCATGTGTTGTCACCTTAACTTAGACCTACTCAACATAGACCTACTATACACACTTGTCCTCTGTCTTTTCTTATGTGCAGGATCTGGTAGTGCGTCTCCTGTTCACACTAGGAAATCTGACAGCCAAGAGCACTGAAGCCAGAGAGAGAGTCTATGAAGAGGAAGGCGGGATAGATGTCCTCTTAGATCTTTTTCAGGTCTACCAGGAAACACCATCGCCCCCTGAGCAATTCCGTGCCCCTGAGAGAGAGGACGTCCTGGTCAAACTGATCAGACTGCTGGCCAACCTGGCCATCCATCCCACCGTGGGCACGGCACTAGCTGCCAACACACTGTGTGTACAGCTGCTACTGGAAGTGCTGGGTACAAAACATAACCATGAAATATACACACACTCCTCTAAGTGGTTAATTAGTTAATAGTTCATTCAGCAAAAATTCCATATTTACAGAAAACCCACTGGGAATGTACTTTACAGATACTGCAGTGCATTCACTCATGCATTTCAATGCGGTTGTCACTCTCAAAGCATTGTGTACGTGACCAATGCTTAGCAAAAGCGATGTGACTTTAAACACACAGCAACACAGATGTGTCAGGCTAAGTTTACTTCCTTGAACTTGAATGAATGTGCAAGTTGGTTGCTCTGCACAGTGCAATCACATGCTGTTCTCTCCACGTCGATTACTGGCACAGGCCCTCAAGTTACTGCATCCTCTCCAATGACGAGAACAGCCAGTCTGTAAACTGCATGTTTTTATTATGCTTAGCTCTATTTTTGTGCAGCCTGGTGTTCTCAGAGATGTTGCACTGTGGTTTGACGGTGATGGATGGAAGCTTGGTTTTGGTTCTGCATGCAAATGTTTCAGAAGCAGGCATGTTAGGGCGAAGAGGTGGTTATGCATTTCCTTTTTGAAGTAGAGATTTGTGTCCTGTGGAAATATATGTCATTTTTAGAATGTGAGAAATGATATTAAAACTTACTTCTAGATTCTTGCAGTTAGAAATGACAGTTAGAGGATGCTGTCGTTTTTAGAACTGAGATGTGGACAGTTAGAGAGGAAATGGGTGGGAGATTTATTGTTTCTCGCTTATCTACCTTATGTCTGGTACATTAAAATGACATCCTGTTATGATGAAAATATAAATCGAGAAGGAAAAAGAAACTGAGAAATCAAGGGTAACAATGACAGAGCATTTGCCACAACAAAAGGTGTTTCGAAACGAACACACGCTTTGCAGCGTGACACACAAACACTGACAGAGCAAACCGCACTTTGAACGGGAAATACAGGATCTTACTACAGTCACACGCGCTGGCAGATTCTGACTACCTCAATTTCGGATTTATCGTGAAGTACTCGCACCGAAATTCACACGAATGGTTTTGAAACTTTTCAAGGAGGAAGTAACACCTGATCAGCGATCTGATCTTCTGTACCAAGAATTGAACCATCTGGCTGATGCTATACTGTAGCCAGAGCTGGGTAGATTACTTACAAATTGTAGTCCGTTACTGATTCCAAATTACATGACAAAAATTGTAGTTAGTAACATAATTCATACATTACACATTTTAGGTACTATAATCAGACTACTTTTTGATTACTTTTGACCTAACTCATTTATCTCATTGATTTAAATCGGATATTCTTAGATATTTAGACATATTTGTTTACCTGCATATCATGTGACCACCAACCAATGTCAGAGAACTGTGAACATCCAAATGTGTTATATAATTATAAAATTATTATCTTAAAATCCGAGGGGTACTTCAAGTAAATATATTAGGTGAAAGAGGTGCAGATGACAAAAATCCCCGCATTACATATAAATAAGAAATAATGTGAATTTGTGCACTTTAATGTGTTTAAAAGACAAAAGCCATCCAAAGACATAGTAATACATGGTTAAATAACTCATTAATTTATATTTGAATTATCACTCAGTGTGTTCATCAGTAGTTGATGCAATGTTGAAATGCTGAGAAGACACTACTTAAAATTGAAATGATTATTGTAAATATAGTGGTTAAATGCTGTGTGGCCTCTCAGGAGCAGGATTGAAGACCTGTGCCCTGTAATGTGCCAAAACAGTGGGGTGTAAATAAAAAGATTTAGTTATTGTTTTTGCTCCGACAACTAGATAAAGATAAGGTTAAAACAAAGCCACAGCAGAACCGCTGCAACAATTTGTTTTCCGAATGAATTGGTTGAATGATTCAATGACTCGTTCAGGCAGCTTCTGATTGAACAAATAATTTGAATCTATAGTTCAATGACTCACTTATATAGACGGTAATTTGTCTCCACCTACTGGCGTAACGATAAATCCTGCAGATAAGGTACATATGCAGACAAGGAAGCCCTTACGAAAATGAACCATGGTTTTACTACAAATAAACAAAAAAAAAAACTTTATTGTAGTTAGACCATGATAACGACAAATTAATCGTGATTTTGCTACACTAACTATAGTTTAACCATGGTATTTGTAGTAAAACTGTGGTTATACAAATGGTAATCAATCTGTTAAAAAAAAAAAAAAAAAACCTTGGTTACTACATATTTACTATAATAAAACCCAAGGTTACTTTTCATAAGGGAAGTGATTTGATGAACTAACAGTTGTTTAAATAGGCGAAATTAATGTTCTGTACTATCTTGTATTAATACACTCAAAATAAAACTCTAAAAACCAAACAATCAGCTGTTTTAAATTCTACAAGTGAATTTAGGCATCACAACATTATAATGCATTGTAGAAAAATGGATACTCATTTTGAGAACAGTCTTATTTTAGTATCATTGAGATACTGTTATATTATTATTTCATGATTGTTTATATTTTCATATTTTCCATTATTTCAATTTGGTTAAGGTTTTAGTAATTTTTTGTTTATTTTGTCTTTTTAAATACCAATTTGTATTTATTGTAATTTCAGTTTTAGTTATTTTAGTACATCAAGTTAAACTAAATGAAAACGTTGCCTTGTCAACTAGCTTTTTTTTTTCATTTCAGTTAACATATATTTCAAGTTTTTTTTTTTTTGTAGTTTTAGTTAACTATAATAACCCTATTTAAAATTTGATAGATATAACTGTGTTATTACATTCTTAGTGTTTTCAATTAATAGAGTCGCTTTAAGTGAGTGCTAGATGATGGCAAATGTAGTCCAAATGAAAAATCAAGGAAATAAACATGCATAACGAATTACACATATTTATAATGCATCCCTATTCTGTACAAGTTTTCTCTAAGATTTCTGTGTCTTTTGCCCTTCTCTCTCAGAGTGCAGGTGTGTACAGGAAAGTGAAGAATTAGTGGTTAATGCCGTGGCCACCATCAACAACCTGTCTTTCTACCAAGGCATGAGCTCAGTGGTCCGTGCCCAGCACACACACATCTCACAGTGTAAGACGTGTGTGTGTGTGTGTGTGTGTGTGCGCACGCAGCCTGTATGTTGCATCTGTCTTGGTTCTTCAGTAATGTCCCCCTCCCGCCTGTCCTTCTGTCATTGCAGTGCTATTAAAGCTCTTGCTGAGCTCCAGTATGGATGCTGTTTTGGAGGCCACATGTGTGTTTGGAAATCTGTCGCAGATCAAAGATGTGAGACACTTCATCATGCAGCACAAAGGTGTGAGACACTCTCTCTGCCACTTTTTCTTTATCCAAACCTCCAGAGGCTGACGTTGTGTTGGTCTTTTGTGTCTCAGTGGAGCAGTATGTGGTAACCCTCCTGGACTCCAAGACCCCTGATGTGTGTTTTTCTGCATGTGGAGTTCTCATCAACCTATCTGCAGATCCAGACAACAGGGCCATGCTGAGGGCCGAGGGAACTGTTCAGAAGTAACTTGCCTCTCTCTTCAGTATGCTTTCATCTTTTGACAACACTGTATGTATAATGTATAAGTACTATGCCTTCTCTCTATCTCCATATTGCAGGCTTATTGACTGTCTGCGTGACTTCGGGCCTCAGGACTGGCATCTGGCCACTGTTGTGTGTCAGACTCTGTGGAACTGCTCTTTAGATGGAGAGCTGCAACACGCTGAAGAGCTGTTGGAGATCTTGTGGCTCTACACAGGTATATACGTATAAACACACAAGCATCAGAACTGGCAGTTTAATATGCTAATTTGGTACAATTAATTAAAAACTAAAAAAGTGATAACAGTCATTGCTTGCAACGGTCAAAGATATTCAAATGATGCATGTGTATATAATAATTAAAATAAAATAACATAAATTTGATTTATTATATATAATTAATTTGCATTAATATTTAAAATATTAATTTGCAATAAAATATAGTACAATACAATATAATGTATATTATAATTCTATTTTTTAATTTTAATATTTGATAAAAATTTTAATACATATCTAATATATATATATATATACATATATATATATTTATATTGTATTAATTAAAATATTAATGTAAATTATATATATGACAATGTAAACAATATATAAAACAAATTGTATATATAATATTAATCAAATAACAGTCAGTTGACAGTAACTTTGGCATGTGCACTGCACATATGACATTACATGAAGAAAACACTGTTTATTTTAATGATTAAAAATTTTGTATGAACTTAATGTAGACATTTTGTCTTGCGTTTTGGACAGACAGAGGAGCTTTGCAGTGGCCTTCTGATGATGGAGTCAGACAGGTCCAGGAAGCATGCTGGGAGCTGCTGTTTTTGCCTGTAGCTGAGAGGCTTAGACAGCGTTTTCATATTGAAGACACTATTGGAATCATTCCGTAAGCTCCACTGACACACTCCTCCTCTCCAGATGTCACATGCTCGTCTGTGTGTGTATTTGCATGTACTTTATGTACACCTACAAGCTGAGGAAAGAGCCAGTGTGTATATTGCACTTTAATACAATATCTCTTTTAATGTTGTGAACTTATGTTGTGAATACTAATAGGGAATTTGTCAATTATGACCAACACATTTTTTAAAAATAAAATAGTTCAAATGTTTATTACACAACCTTATGCTGCTGTATTTAGCTTGAATAGGAGAAAGCATGGATTGTGTCAGACACAGAAAGCAAGTCTTATGTTCATGAACACCACACTAATGTACATGCAAAAATCACTCACGAGCATCTCCGTGATCTCAAAGACTTTATTAAACAGACACTTCCAGAAAAGTCTGTAAAGAACACAGGATAGAAACATTGTCATAATTTCTTAATACAATCACATCAAACTGATATAATATGGCACTGGCTTCCCTCCTCTTAACCGGTTAACACTTCACAGTTACAGTCTATACATTACTATGAAGTTTACACAGCTGCCCTAGAGGTGACCTACATACATGCTTAAAAACCAATGACCAAAATTTGATTTTTGTTAAGTTTATTTAATCACTATTTACTGAGATTTAACGTTTTCCTCTCAGTCTTCGTTGTGTATTGTCTGAAGCTGTTTAACTCCTGTACAATATCCAAGGGACTTTTTCAGAAAAGAACAAGATACTTTATCGTTATTAATAGGGGAACCCAACTTCTCACATTATTCTTTTAAAATGAGCAACAACTAGCCTATGGTGATTTCCATTTAATGACCATTTACAGGCACTAAATGACCACCAGCCTCATAACCACAAACAAATAGGGAAATTACAAACAACAAAAGGGAAAATTTCCTTATTTATGCAAACAGGCATGGTTCCAAGGTTAACAATGTTACTTGCTTTAATCCTCGCTGTGAGAGGACAAATTGCCACGTTCAACATTGTGTTGAAATCATTAATGCACAGCAGGGGATGCTTTTCTATAGGCCTGTAGTGTCTGTGCCGATATATTGCTTTGCTACAAGGGTCTCTACTGTTAGGTGGATGTTCATGGACATAAAAACATTGATTATGTGACCTAAAAGCTATATAAACGATATCTTAGTGTTATTATTGTTAATAAGCATATAAATAACCTTCAGTTCTCATAATATGAGGTGTTTGGACTGCTCAAATCTTTTTTTTTTTTGCAATTAATAATGAATAACAATAATTGTTTGGTGTAATGCATCATCATCTGTGACTTTCAGGGAAGAAAAAGACTTCAGATTAAATTACAAATGATACAACCAGTGAAATACCATGTTTTATTTTTTTTTACAAATAATTTCTTATAAAATTGTCAGTAACTGACATCAGTCTCTCAAGTCTGACTTAAAACCTCCTCCAAAAGAAAAAGTACCATCCCTCTAGTCCTGCCATCATCAGAATGCAGTACTTAACTGGTTTAGTAAACAAAAAAAGACAGCAGAGAATCCACCCCGCTTGAAAAGAAAACACATGCGCACACACACACACACTCGAAACAAAACTGTTTAGTTACACTGGTTAAAGTTCTGATAATGAGAACAAGCATGGTGTAACCCCACAAGCGTGCGGGTCACCTGGTTCAGCGTCTAGCTCTGTACAGACTGTAGCGCATGACAGGCAGCCACGTAAGACAAAGTTCTGCTCACTAGACAGCACTTAGATATTTAAGGATACATAACAGGAGGACACACACACACACACACACACACACACACACACAAAACAAAACTTGCTTAGTTACACTGGTTAAAGTTCTGATAATAAGAACAAGCATGGTTTAACCCCCACACTACCATGCAGTCATGCGGGTCGCCTGGTTCAGCCTCTAGCTCTGTACAGATTATAGCGCATGACAGGCAGCCACATAAGACAAGGTTCTGCTAACCAGACAGCACTTAGATATTTAAGGATACATAACAGGAGGTATTTAAATTAATAAACCCCAAAATAAAAACAAGGAGTTAAGATGACCGTGCGTTAAAAGGAAGAAGGCGGATGGATCAGAGCAACAGGAAGCACGTCACAAAAGGAAGACCTTTCCACTTTGAAAGTTGCTAACACAAATGAAAAAAAAGATAGAAAGCGGTCATCGAAACAAAATGGCTACATAACAGCTGAAGCTTAACATTTTTCAAAAAAAGTGCTTTGATATTTTTAATGCATGAACCCCCAAAATAGCCTATGTTTGGATATTATTTCTCTATCCCCCACCCCCTCCCTGTGTAGCAATGTAGCATTCACACATTGGAAATGTCACAATGAGACAAAGTGGTGTTTTACAGTAAACTCTAACAAGGGCTCAGACAGCTATTACTTTTGAATTGCGCTCTCACACTCACACTAACACAATTGTTCCTGGATTAGCTTATACAAATGGGTGATGGTTTGGGTGTCTTGAGGCCTCTCAATTGAGAAAAGCAGCATGAACAGACGGCACCTCAGCACCTGTTGCCAGTGCTGCGCATGACTAGGCACGCGTTTATGCAAAATCAGTAATGCTTCTATCTCTAGCCACTGCTGGAAAAAAAAAACTATATAAAGCGATAAGGAAAAAAAACACTAGTAGATAAGTCTTGTCAGTGCAGTCTTTCTGCACTGGTGCTGGAGTTGCTATTTGTGTTTTTTAATCTCATCTCACATAAAGAAGATATGATTACATGGCATCTTATCGCAGATGCATTTGAAATACTAAAGGAGGTCTGGCCTCCAGAAGCTGGCAGTCTCAGCTTGTCCTCTTACACACTAGAGGGATTCTTCTCAGAGCCCCCCACCCAGTGGCCAGTTTTGGCACTGCAGGCTGAGCAGCCACACAAGTGATTTCAACAAGTAGGTTCAGTTGACAGTTGTTTTTTTTCCCTTCTTTTAACAAAACAACCTTGTCATCATCCTCCGCAGCCACCTGTTGTTCTTCTTCCTCAGTTTTGTTTTTTTTCCCATTTTTTTTGTCATTTGTACGTTTATTGAAGTGTCCAACGTCAATGACAGTAAAAAAATAAAATAAAAAGGTAGACAAGAACAGTACTTCATGTCATGTAGCGAGTGATAGCTCTCAGAGCGTAGAGCAGTTCTGCCTGCATGCGCGCTTCCATAAGAAGCAAATTAACGTGGACCTGAAAGACAAAAGAAAAGAATCGTTATTAACTCAAAGCGAGAGGATTTAACTTTCACAAATAATCTGTGCCTGTTCATTTTTGTGATTCTGAAGTGCTTCTTACTTTCTCAGAGTGCTGGAACTGCCTCCAGAAGCTGTCATACATCCTCTTGGTGATCTTCTCTGGAGTGCGCACCATAGTTTTGATGTAGACTTTAAAACTGCGGTCTAACAGTTGGTTAATTTCTCCATAATCATAATCATCGTACCTGCCGTGTAATAGAAAGATACCTCAGCAATATGATTTTTTAAATAACATCTAAATAAAAATTGAAAAAAAAAAAAAAACACACACACACACACACACACACACATATATGTACATATGTATATATATGTGTAGAATGACAAACAATAAACAAATTTTTACAGCACAACCAAATATATTTAAAGTTGCCACATATTTGTGAAACAAAGAAGCGTGGAGAGGCTTACCGAATCCCGAACATGCAGTGGATGTAGTTCCAGATGGCTCGACGAAGCATGGAAGTGTCCACACCCTGGTGTGTCGCCATTGTGTTGTAGGTCAGATTGTATGTGATCTGGAACTTTTCATCTAGAAGCTGTCCAAAATCCGGATACAGCCGATTCACCAGGGAAAAGCCATGATCTTCCCAACTATAGTCCTGTCAAGGGCAGAAAATATCACAATTCTGTTATTATTTTAATCCTCCATTTCCTTTGACTGGCAACAAGGAAGACAATTTGACTTTCTTCTCACCTGCACTCTGAGAGTGGGTACATGTTCTCCTCTCCTGGAGAAGTCTTTGTAGCCGTAACTAAGGTCTTCAAAATGTCGTGAAACATCTCTGGATGGTACACACTCCTCATCCTCTGTTGACCAAACATGATGCTTTAATACAAGTCATCCTGGCGTTGTAGTTTGAAATAAAAATTAAAAAATCCACTTACCAGAGGTGACTACCAGCATGCTCTCTGTTTTTTCCCTCTCAAAACGAGTGGCCATTTCCTCCTGACTGGCTTCCTCTTCGTCATGACATTCCTGGAGCTGCTTCATCTTCTCCATCAGCACTTCAACCTCACCAGAGAACTCAGACACCTAAACACAAGCATACAGGAATCTAGGTCATCACACAGTTTTGTGCACTGTATGGTTAGGAATTTGAACCTCGCACTGCATGCATTCCACAGATCCCTTTTCAGGACCACTGGATGGAAGTCTAACAAAAAAATGAGAACGTCTTGCAATCATTTTCTTTGCATACATTTCCCTCTGTCTCACCTGCTGGTTCCCAAACATTTCCTCCAGGGCACTGTTGCCATTGGCAATGTCACAAACGCAGTAACTGCTGAGCGAGGGCGGCCTGAACGTATGTCCTCCATCTGTGTGGATGTCAGGGTTGATGCCACAACCAAACGTAAAGGAGGCCAGAGAGTGATAGAGTGTGAGTAGCACCACAACATGGATCAGCTCGGCCAGGGACCAGCTGTGCTCCTCAGCCTTCAGTAGACGCTGTAAGAAAAAAATAAAAAATATGAAGGCCAATGATATGTAAGAGTGTCCACGACAAAGAAAAGGAAAAAGATTAGAAAAAATCGAATTCTTAGAAATGTACTCTTGGTATTCATGTTGGTTTCAGGCGGTTTTGAAAAAGTGAAAAAGAAAAGTTTCAGTTTAATGACTCATGTCGTAACCATCAAGTAAAATGTAATAGCATATATATATATATATATATATATATATTTATTTTATTCACTGTTTTAAACTTATATTGAAATTTTTAAGGCAAGTTTTCTTTACAAATATTAATTCAGAAATATCCCAATTTTAGGGAGGAATCACACACTGACATTTGACACATTTTTTCAAATAAGCACTTTTTTTTTTCTAAGGAATAATAAAATATTACACCAAATATAACTCCATTACAGCTAATAAACTTCATAACTACTTAAACCAGACTGACCTAATACTTCATAGTTGCCTCTAACAGCATTATAAAACTTTGTTGTGCTCGTTACAGCACAACAAAGCTGTAGGCGAGTGTCCATGTGGGACTGTGAGGTTGAAGTCATACCTCAATATGTTCTTTGGTGAGCAGCCAGGGGCGATGGGCCAGGATCTTATTGAGCTCTCCAAGAGCCTGCAGCTTCTGTGGGGCTTCTTCCAGACCATTCAACCACTTGGAATCACCTCCGACCTGCAGGAAGTCATTCACGTGCAGGTTGACCAGATACGTGCACTGGTGCCTAGCGGCAGCCTGTTGTGCACAGACACTCCTTTAGAAGAATCTATCATTGTGATTTTTAGGTTGCATACAAAAATACAGCCTGCAGTCTCACCATTATCCCTATGTAATGTCTGCAGTGCAGAGACAACGGACCGTCCATCTGAAGCAGGTAATGCTGTGTCTTAAGAAAGCTCTCCAAATACTGAGGATGGAACCCCATCACCAAGGAGACGTTGTCAAGGCGACCGAGCACTGCCAAAGCGTCCTCAAAAATCGACTGTATTCTTTCATTCAATTTACTGACTTGAAGTATCTGGGACAACGGGAATAAAGATGAGGTGAACCTGGGGAATTCAGTACTGGTAAAATAGCTTCACTAGACCGTGATGATAAACATTGTTAATGCCAAAAAAAGGGGGTGCAATTTGTTGATTATAATGGTTGGAGTGAGATTCATGCCAACTTTAAATCCAGCAGGGTTGATGTTAACACTAACCTCTTTCTCTGGTATGAATCTACTTGGTCCATTTCCCATCGGTCTGGGGATTCGCACTCCAACGTCCTAAAAAGTTCAAAACCAATAACATAATTACATGATCGACATACATGTCAAAACCGAGAGAAGCATTTGGCACAAAACTATGATTATTATATTGAAGAAATCCTGGCGTCAGACCAGAGCTCTTAAAAACAACAGCCTTCCTCAGCTCAAATATCAATGGCTGGTTCTAGAATTGTCTCTGGCATGGGCTAGAAAATACATTCTTTATAATACATAACATAATGCAATCAGCAGCAACAGTTAGATCTTGAACATCATTCATCTGCTTATTGATACAATAGAAGCTGTCAAAGGCACAAAGAGAATGATTCAAAACAACCTAGATTCCCTATGAACAAAAAGTGTTCTGAGTTTGCAATATACCAGTGACATAATCATGCCAAAATAGCTGACTCAGGAATATGCAAGCAATGGTGTAAAACTACATGAAATGCTAAATGCTATTTAACTTGACACCGCGAGCAATTCAATCTGTCCCCTTGCAGAAACATACATCAGTTCCACACAATGGCTATCTTGCATATTTGATTTTAGTGCTTTGCTTGAATAAAAACAACAACAACAACAACAACATTTAGACAATGTGACACTGATTTTAATACCGTCAGTCATTGATAAAAGACGAGTGTCTATTGATCCGATGACAGAAGACTGAGAAAAACAAGCCAGCAGTGTTCATGGTGCAAGTACAAAGAACAGGCTGCACTGCAGCAAACGGACTGAATAAACGGACATGATTTAAAACCCACGGCAAAAAGAAGACTAACGAAACACGTTAACTAAAAAATACATCTGTCATTAGTTAAACTCGATGTCAAGCTCTTATTCGGTTTCTTACCTTTTTACTTAGCCGCTCGCACTGTGTACACATTTTGAACAAGTCTGTCATGGTGAGAGAAGAGTTTTCCATCGTTTCATTAGATGTCGATGCGTGCCTCATATTGCGCTTTTCTGCTTCTAAATAAAAAATTAGAGCGACTATCTTGTTTTAGCTCCCGTTGTTCCTTGAGATATTTGGTTACGCTACCCGTTCATACCAGCTGTTGAAGCTCCCGAGCAGAATACCCACTCTT